TGTGTTTTTTTGTTTGTTAATTTGAATCTTATTTTGATTTACAATTTATTCATTCATTTTCAATTTCTGTTTTTGCTACCAATTGATTCACAATATCCTGACAAATACCAAACTGTACCGGTTTCCCCTTTACATAAAGCATTATACAAAAAGAAAAGTCTTTTAGTTATTCATATTTACTTTTAGAAATATACAGTAATAGAGACAATAGAGCAATCCAATATACTTGAACATCCAAGGCAAACTGACTGCACGATTCAAATGATGTGCAATGAAAAAATATCCAGTTAAAAAAAAGATTATGTTGGGGTTTTTTTCTTCATTATTCTGAGCTCTTTGCACAAAGAAATCTCACCCATTTAATAAATGGTATGTTACTCTTATATGTTCACAACGTGGGAGCATTATTTCTCCGTATGATATTTTGTGAAATAACCCTATAAATTTGAAGTTTTTAGTAAGGAAAATCGAAATGAGTTTATATATTTTTCTATAATTCAGTAATATTAGTTTTGCACATTTATTATTCTTTGAAGTTTCAAAGAAACTGTTGGGTATTATGATAAAAAGAATATTAAAAACAAATACCTTTTACATTTTGTTGAAAGAAAGTTTTATTTTATTTATAGAAATCTGAAACAAGTGATTATTAGCATCCCCACTGGAAGGCCTCTGACAGACTGTATGCGTAAAATCATTGTTATAGAAAGCCGATGACAAACAAGTTAAAGCTAAATGATTCGCTATTTTTAACAGCATACGTATTACGGTCTGTCTACATTGTTACGGTTTTACCTCTAAACGTCAATTTGACTGTCTATCTATTGGACTATTTTACTAATGGTATATAAAGATGTGCAACTGGAATAATCTCTAAGGCGAGACTTAAATGTTTTATTTTTAGGTTTGTAAATTTTGCATAGTTTACATGTTAGTTTTTTAACACTTGCATATAAATACTATCGAAATTAAACACAGGATGGAAATATCTCTGTGTCAACAGTTTTTTACAACAAAAACAATAACAAAGTACGTTCCATAAATAAAAATGTGTAAGATTAAAAATAATGTCGAGATATTTTTATTACATGTTATTAAATTAACCAAACCGTAATTGGTTCTGTAAGGTTCATTTTAACCCAGGAAAAGAAATATAAAAGCATTAGGCCGAAATCTCCCCAAAAATTCAATTGCACACAAATGATACTTTCTAAAGTTCTTTATTCTTTTAAATTACTTAAATCAACAATATCACAGCACCGTGTGAGTGCTTTAATGTTTAACACCTTTGGGGGATTTTCGAACATGTGACTACATGGTGAATGGCAAAAGATAGTTCAGGCTGCAATTGTAATAAGATTATGGCAAAATCTTAGTAAAGGGACATAAAAAAAGAATAAGAAGAACATTCTTTACCAACACCAACATGCCATGAGAAGAAAAAACATGCATTGTCTTTTAGGTAAAAATCAATTCATTTGGTTAAGGATGGATGTCTTTCTGTTCAATTTTCTTACAGTAAAAAGGTAAAAATAATCCCATGGTAGTAATCAAAGACAGTCACATTTGCATTGTTTTAAAATTCCCTTTCAATGTAATGTGTAGCGCTAAATAACTAATTAATTATTTCGGATATATGCATCTTCATGGTATATTATGTTAGCTCTGTAATATTCGAATTCCAGTAATGTTCAGCACCCCTCCGATTTTGACCCCGCGAATGAAATAAATACAGGGGAAATTGGCACTTCTTCTTTCAAATTAAAAAACATGACATGTGAGTAAATTTCTTAATTTAACAAAATATGAATTAGGGTTCTGTTGAAGTTCCTAGCAGAATCAAGATACCACATGTATATGTCAAGTGATCCCTCTAACTTTTCCCTGTACTGTACACATATTTAGGGATAAGATCTTATTCAGATATGCTCTAAACCTTTTTTTTTTAAATCTTACAAAATGTTCGGGGCGAATGCAGTAAGACTCTCTTATTCCAGTGATAAAGAATGAAAATTCCATAAATTATATTTTCCTCAAATGTAAAAAAATCCTGCATGATATCAAGAAAAAGTAGTATGTATCGACCAAGGATTTGTGTAATAAGTCTTAATAGACAAATCCTTGGCATCGACGTTTTAATTAAACTATCATACAGCATAGTAATGATGATGACAATGTGCTTTAGTTCGTTGACAATCTAATCTGAACTTAAATATCCTGTTCACTACAATTGATCGATGGATTTTATCTTAATTATTTTCTAATCCATCAACTACCAGACAATTTAATGTAAATAGATGGGTTATCCCATGGAGTAGGAGAATTGAATGAGTAATATACAGCATTGTAACTTATAACGGAATGTATACGGTGGATTTAACTATAATAATTCTTCGACGTTTTGTTTAACTTAAAGTCTGTGAAGTGACATTTTCAATACAGATTATGAATAATTTGCAGTATAATTATGTATTCTTTTTTATTCATAAAATCATAGAATTGAAGGATTGGACAAGGGTTACTACTTCCCTGTTTCCACTTTATTCTTGTGTTTCTCTATTAAAGTCCAAATTAGAAAAGGCGTCCTGTAATTCCTTAAGACCTGTAAGATGCTATAATTATATTCAGAAATTTCGAATACCAACAAAAACTTATGTATATTAATAAGATACTCAAAGTCAAAGTTTTCATAGTTTTCTTTCATGAGATCAGAAACCCCGTGGTTTTTCAAGTCGTTTTATCGTAGAATTCAAAACTAAATCAAGCACTATACCTGTTAAATAGAAGTAGTTACGTGATATACGTCAATAATGAGACAAAAAGCCAACGACACAAAAAGCAAAAGACATCTATAATATGAGGCACACTTCATATAGGAACTCCTCAGAAAGAATGAAAAGAATTTAGTATTATATTTAAATTCCAATCTCCGTTATACAGATCATGTCCTCTCACGTAATAATTCATAGCTTAGTGACTTTGCCGAACGCATCTATCCATCGAACGTAAATTAAAGGATACATCAACCACAATAAATCATATCTTGACTTTAATCTTCTATAAATTGACAAAAATGAGGGTGCGTGAAGAACTACGATGAACGAGATGCTCTCAGTTTTTAATTGTGAACTTCCATTTCTAAGTAGTAACATTCCAGCAGCGCCTGAATATGAAGTATTTAACTCACAGTACTTATGGATACGACATGCCAGAGCTTGCATTTTCTTGATCATTTTCTTGATATAGGGTTAATGCAAAGAAGCTATTAAAACAAGGTTCCTTATGGTAAAATTGAAGTTGACTCTTGCTTAACGTACGCAAGCATGTTTTGGTTGACCGTTACGAAATACCTGTGTCACAAAAGACCACAGATGTGTTCCAATTGTCGTACCTACAATCCCGTCCTCTTTCAACGAATTTAACATCACCTAATGCGACTTATTACCATATGTTAACTTGTCATGAGCAACACGACGAGTGCCAGTGGGATCTGCTTACCCTTCTTGAGCATCTGCAAACACCCCGTGTTTGGTGGGTTACGTGTTGCTCAAACTTTGGTTTTCTGTGTGGTGTTTTGTGTACTGTTGTTTATTTTTTCGTCGTTATTCTTTTTGTCGAAGCTATTATTTATTTTTCTTCAAATAATGATTTTTTATTGTCCCTTGGTAGCGTACGTCTGCCTCTGTTTTAGACAAGTGTCTACATGTTTATAATAAGTCTAGAAAAGTTTGAACAGAGACTATCTATTAAGATCATCAAATTCACTAATGGGTAAAAATATTCAAATAAAACAAAGTAGTACTGACGAGGTTCTCGACTTAATTAGAACAGGTGTAACAGTGAACCTGTTCAGCCAATGTACTCTGTCCTTTTGGTTAAAGTTAATGACGAATTCTCACGAGGGTTTTATTCCCGAAGGAATACACAACTAAAGTGTGAAGAATATATACTTTAGGATATTTCATCTAACGTAAATTCTACAAATCGGAATGGATAAACGCTTACACAGGCGCATGAATACTTCTTATGTTTCGAGGTTATCTCAACCGTTCCCTATTTATCTTGACCAGTGGTATATCACGATCACCTTTAAAAAATGTACTGTAATTATCAGCTCAACCCCTATATAAAAGATAACACAAACACTGGAGCAAGTAAGACAATAATAAGCTAATGTAAGATCATCTAAGTCATTCCAGAAAAATATGAAACCAAAACAAGATGTTTCTTTTTCTTCGAATGAATGAATTATAATTGCAAAGCAGTAGTTACATGCTATAACAACACAAACATGTTTCATTGAGACACATTATAAACAGTAGACAACAATTATATTCAAACCTAGTACAACTGACAAACAATAGTAAGCAGGTGTAACTTAATCTGCCAAGCGGACGGATTTCAAATTACACAATTTTGCCAACTAGTGGTCTAGATTTGGTTTGATACAAATATCTTAATATTGTCTTATAGTCACGAACAATAGTATTTCGTCTTTTGTCATACTGTGTTGCATTTTCACAGGTTTCAGACACTGTCTATTGCACTTGGATAAACAAACTTCTTTTGTAATTTTGTAGCTGTCCGAGATCTTAGAAATTGAAATGCTGGTGGTTTTAGATATGAGATATAGCCGAAGCACGAAGGTTCTGAAGCAAATATTACACTTGTTGAATACCGTATGCAGTTTTCTATACGTTTTCTTGTTTAATTAACTTTTAGGGTTGCTGTCTAATAATATACTCCAAAATCTACTTTTATTCAAATACCTTTCGTTTGTATGGGACAAATATCCTAAGCTCACTTGAACATACATTTCGTCTATCAGATTGTAATTGTAAAAATCTTTATTGATACTCTATTTGATTGCATTTTGTTTGTATATTTCGTGATATGATAACAATAACATCCTATTTATTTATATATTTTCTCGCATTTAAATCTAACCTTAAACCTGCGTATGTAGGTAACTTTAATAATTGGAATATCTAGTCATGCATATGAATATAACGTACCATAAACCTTATTGAATATTTCAATGTCGGGTGTATTGAACCTATAAACAGTAAAATATCGATGAAATATATACACATTATTGAGTACAAGGTAAAAATATAAATTATCCAGGACATATTAATTTCATAATCTGTTATATGTATTGATACATTGTAAACACAGTTTCTTAATCGACGTCGTTGATAAAACTAACAAAGAAGAAGAAAATCATCAAAATGACCACCTCAGCTGTATATCTGGTGTTATTGATATTGTTTACAGGTAAGTAAACAAACCTGCTTGTATGTTGTATGCAAATGCTTTGATATTACAGAAATTATTTTTTTCAAAATACATGTACTTTTGTCGTATTTATAAAATTTACTAACAACTTGTCCAATGGAACAAGTATGTGTGTGTGTGTATGATCATAAAGAAAGAAAGCAACTTGTCTCAATATCATATTGATTCCTGTCATCAAATAGACATTTAAGAATATACACGCATTTTTTAATCTATTAAAACCATAAATTGAATTGGATTTACCATAAATTGAATTGGCTTTTCTCAAAACAAAATCAATGATAGTAAAACTTTGTATTCTGATACGCTTGATTATTTTTGGCATATTCACACGAGAACGAAAATTAGTTGATGCATATATATAGGACCCAAAACGAAACTTTTTTAACGTGTTTTATTTATGCAACTAAATGGATTACTGGGGTTTGGTATTTCGTAATGTCAAGTTATTTTGAAATCAGGGTATCTTGTTTGTTCAATTATTAATATGTGCCAAAAGCATATAACATCATAGTATAATGTTTGTTTGTGTGAATGGCGTTCTGCCCATCAAAGGTCCTTAATTGAAACAATAAATATTCTTATTTTTATTATTATTATTATCATAACAACACATATGGTATGAGTTGCTTCAAAAATCCACCTAAAGTTTTATTTTAGTAGTGTAGTAACAAGAACACATTAAGATTGATACGATATTACTTCCTTGGTACATGTATACTGTGATTTCAATCTTCCTGTGGCTTTTCATATTGTTCAAGATTTTTTAAATGCGTGGTGAGAATATCGTGTGTAACACCATGTATTTACTTCCTTGTCATTACCGGTGATCTCATACAATCGACAAAATACCAAGTAGTTTATATATATCTTTTCTAGTTAATAACTTAAATGATATATTTATGAAATATTGATAGAATGTTTAGTCATTCGTCATTCAATGAGTTCTAAATATGACGACGACAAATACTATACAATATAATAGAAAAACAAAGGATATGGGGTATCCATCAATGACACAAAATCAGTACATGCACAGTAAAAAAACACACAAAAAGCAAAGGAACAGCGCTTTTATTGCTGTTCTTCATCTAGTTTAATTTCCCATGTTTGTTCCGATATGTGCTTATTGCCTTTGTGATCTGTATGACCTATATGTACCGTACCTTTTATGTTAGATTTTAATTCAATATAAGTTATAAATATACTGTCGCCATCACAATTGAGTTAAGTATTTTATCATATGATCCATTTGCTGTACTTGCAATTCCCTCAATGAAAGTCAATATTGCTTTATGAGCAACATTCCGTTTCAATGTTTTAAGATGATTTTGGTAAGACTCGTTTTTTTTCTTATTTTTGACCGATAAATTAAATTATAAATCAATGCCATTTGACCAATCCTTAAATGTGCAACAGAAGGGAATTGGTGAGATAATGAGGAGTCTTTTACTATAAAAGGACCTAAGGGTACGGTTGAATAAAGTTATCTTAAAATTCATTTGATGAACAATTCAAATGCCTGTGACCCTTAAATAGAGCTTTGTCCATTTTAAAATATTTTCTTAGTTTGATTTAGTCGATTTAAAGTAGTATATTCATAATTACCCTGTTTTTCTTCAGTGGTAGCCTGTTCCAATTCCATAAGGCATGAGGAGGAAAAATACATTACACAGGTAAAATACAGAGAACACAAGCTTGTGAAAAGGGCCGTTTCCAGTACAAATACTACAGACAGTATAGACATTTCAAATACAACGCACAGCACAGACAGTTCGAATACAACACACGGTGTCGTCGTCAACACTTCAACAGGTAGTGATGTGACTACTTCAAGAAATACTTATGAGACAACAAATAGTTATGAGACAACAAATAGTTATGAGACAACAAAAAGTTATGGGACAACAAATAGCGATAGTGTAAATTCAACAACATCAACAGTCACACCAGAAACTACAACACAAAAGTCATCAATTGGTCAAACAGAAGTTCCATCAAATACGACCACGGTAATTATAGAATAGTGATACTGCAGATATGCAACGATTTTACATAATGGAAAATGTGTATTAATTTATAACACGAAATCCCTACTCGCATGTGAATGATCAAACCAAAGGATTAGCGCTGGCATTGCTGGTCAACCTCTAAACGTCACAGTAATGCCTTCAAAAGCTCACGCATCACTTGCAATTTTGATAACATGTAGGATTTGTTTTATGAATGTTCAATTTATTTTAGTCTCAGCTATTGTTTGGAAGAGTAGATTATTCTTAAATAGACGCATGAGACCGAATATTATATTCATTCATATCTGCAATTACAATAAAACAATAGCGAATTAAATTTAGAGAGTTGAAGAGAATCACTGTTTACAAAATGAAATAATAAAAAAGCATATTTTATTTATATCGGAGGTTTAATGATTTCTATTGCAAGTATTCTTTACATACATGAAATTTTAATGATTCGACATTTCTATTGATTTGTACATAAAATTAAATGAGAATTGTAAAGAATACTTTGAATTGATATGTATGAAAGTCATTGTGAAAATGAAATATGTACCTGTTAAATGGTTACACCGAAAACTCTTATATAATGCAGTATCTCACTTCATTGACGCATATATCCTATCTGTAGCTCAAAAGAATGAAAGATAAAAAAAAATCATTTTAATGTACGAACTTGACCATAATAATAACAAGCTTTTTCTTCATTTTATTCGCAGATAACAGACCACCATACTTATTATAAGTCGAGAATGTTTTCCGACCCGACTGGAGCCTATTGGAATGAGTTGCACGGACATACAAGGCATTCTTTATCAAATGACAAACATCTTGTGTACGCGGTAAGAACTCATTAGGGGTCATCCAGGTTAATAGCCCTTCTTTGACCTTTAACATTTGATCATATCAAACGAATTAAATTGAAATCCTTTTGTGTGTAAATTCCCAACGGTTCAGTTATTAAATCTGCGAGCTGAATAATTTACATTATTTTTCACATGGAGATGGAAAAGAACTTTTAAAAGGAGAAATATGATCAACATGTCATGTCATGGTATAAGAAGTTAGTCATGAAAAATCTTTTTCTTCCGTTGTGAAGCTTAGATACATGTAGCATTTGTCGACAATAGTATAAGGGATTTCGGATCTCTTTTCATATAAGTAATTTTATATATAAACGGTACCCGGTATAATATTCCTTATTTCATAATTTTACATTTACCTTTGTAAATGCAGACATTTACACCACTGTCGCAGTTTAGGGGGAGGGTTTTTAGCGCTCGCCAACTACGTTTAACACTGCACATTCTTTATATGCCTATCTCAACTCAGGATCCTGTAGTTCAGTGGTGTCTTGCGATCTTGATATGTTGATTTATTTTTACTTTCCTAGCCATAATATAACGTTCTTGTATTCACGCATTTTTTGTTTCTGTTTCAGTTCGTCGACTTATCTTTTAAATTTCCATTCTATGGTCACATGATACAGAGATTTGCAATAACGCCATTAGGTTTGTACCATACTAGTATATATATAAAACTTTACCTACTTGTTGAATTCGCTTCTTTAGAATATAAAGGACTATGAGTATGAGTAATCGCATTGTTCGTACACCAAAATGAAAATAACGTTACGTCATTGCTTGAATTCCAATTCTTTAGTATGTTGAAATATCAATCACAATGTTTTGGTGTACGCTTTTGAAAATATTACCCAGAACGCATTAGATTCTGAAACGGTGAAGTTCAAGGTGTTTGTTATAACGTTGCAGCAGTCCTTATATATTATAGAAGGGTGACTGGTGAATAGAAATATGGTCACTTTCGGTCTTTTTTCGACCAGCAGTAAAACCCTTTCCAAATTGAGTGTCCATTTTGTTGTGCGGGATGAATAAATACGCAACCACGCTCAGTCAGAATGGATATGTTTAATCCAATGCTTCGTGTAAAGTCTGCACGTTAAGAACACTTGCAACAACTCTTTGAGGTGTCCATAGGTTACATGTTGCAAGACTAGATGTTTGTCCCTTTATAATATACCCTCATCTTTCTGTGGCAGTCCAAATTTCCCGTCCTTCATCCCGGTCGACTATTATTACAGGATCCACCTTTTGTATTTCTCGCTAATTTGTTTACCTCCTAAGCATGCATTAGATATTTGCCAATGGACGTTAAGCAAAAAAACAACCAACCAAGCAATTGGATATATATCATATGAAAATAATGTAACCAAGTACACGGCTTTGCACCATTTTTATGATAAGTGCCAACGTGAGTGCTAGGCGTTATTTTATGATGTTTTATGATATTCTGATGTTTATTCTTCACACTAAAAAAAGTTAAAGCATTAACGTAATTATGAAAAAAAGAGACATTATTATAACTCCTTTAACGCTGTTTTAGTAAAATTCACCTCAAATAAGTTTGGTTGCTCTGTTTTCTTTTATGTTTTTTGTGAATTTAAAATAATTCAATCTTATCCAATTCAATTTTATCTTTTTCTTTCTTTTTCTTCCGTTTTTCAGTATTCCTATCGTATTACATGTACTTAGTTTCTTTACCATGTTTTGAATATTCTGCTGTACGTATGGTATTAATCATACCATAGGTATGTTTAAGAATAATAGATATAGGCTTTCGAGAAGCCAATTTGGAGAGTTTTAAGCTGCCAAAAAAGCAACCAAAATATTGTTGAAAGATGTATGTTGACCTCTATATGTCATTTTGCTATTTGTGTCGTTGGGTTGCTGTTTGTTTTACGTATGCCCAACACCTTCTTTTATTCATATATAAAGAAGCACAAAATATATTTTGAGGTATACAAAATTGGATTGTATAGCAATAGCGACCTTCCATGTTCGATGTCTAAAAACAAGCTGCTGCAGTTGGAAAAATTGATGAGATGTACATAGACAAAATTTGCTCTGATTATAAAACAAACTGCATAATAGGATCGTCGGTCCTTGTTTATGCTAAAATAAATGTTGCGTCCAATAAATCCGAAACATTACATGAAGCATATGCTGGGGATGGGGTTGAACGTTTCAACGATCCTTCTTTGTTCACCTGGCCAGGAATACCTCTGACAACAAGAGACATACTGAAACCAAACTTTGTTTTTATACAAATGAGGTTGGACCAATTTCCCATGTATTTATATCGCATTTGGGACATAAATTCGGATTGTCACAGCTCCAAGCGTGTACTTTGAGGTTCTAGCAATATCATAACGTATTTCTCAACAGATATCAAAACTGTAAACGCCGGATGAATTCTCAAAACTGAAATTTTGGTAGATTTATCTTTAAAAAGAACACTTCAAAAAGACAGTTTAAACCAAAACCAAAATTATGTTGGAAGTTTTGCTTTCTATTGTCTTTAGGATTCCTTTGGATTAGTTCTTCCTTGCAAAATTTTACAGAAACAAGTAAGATTTGCACTTCTATATCAAAATGAATTCTAGCTGCGGAACCCTAGTTCTTATGGTCCTTAAGTTATTTTTGACAACTATGGTCCGCAAATTGTCAAAAAAACATCATAAGGGCCTACAGGCACTTGTCTCTGAAAAAATATGTACCTTCATATATAAGGTATATAGGACATTTTCTTTTCAGAGACACATGCCTGTGTAAGGACCATATGAGCTATAGTGACGAAGACAAATGGCTTCAGCAGCAATATGTACCACTGAATGACATTTATTTTTATGGAAAAATGTTTAATTATTGAAACATGTTTTAAGTATATGATCAATAATGATAGACTCTTCAATATTCTTTACATTACATACACTATTAATTGTTCGTTGACTCTTTTCCAGGATTTTTATACATGAGTTCATTCACACATCGACAACTGGATTATTCCTACACCCATTACATTGCTCCACTGATGGCAAACTTTGATACCATTGGAAATTATTCTGAAATATTGTACAAAGATAACGGTACGTTTGTGTAAGATATGTATGACGATTTAAATGAATCTTATTGTAATATGACTACCATTTATTAATGTTATAAAACAAGAAAATTATTTTGATTAGTATTTGTAAAGAGATATCGCGTTTCATCTTCGTAGTATATCTTAAGGAACCAATAGAATCTTTCTAGCTATTGGTTTTGTTTTTCTAGCGGTGGCTTTTTAGTTTGAGTTGATACCAAGTTATGCATGTTGAAATTCACTTGGAATTCTATTATAAACTGTTACACTTTTAGCTGACAACTCTTTCTTGTACGTATAAATTTTGTATACATATTATATAATCAACGCAAATTTCAAAACATGTCTTTATTCTTATTTTATTATTTCAGGTAATAGTTTTGTAATTGAATGGAGAGACATTGAGTTAAATGATCAAGCAGAGAGTAAGAAAATTAAAATTACTTAACATTTCTAAACTTTTTACATAACAGTAGTGGTAGTGCAAGCATTGTTTTAAAAAAACTGAATGAAAAGATTTTTTCTTTAAAGGGGCATTATCTACGAGATATAAAAGAAATAAAATATGATTTTTTTGTTGTTCAATCATTAATGAAAGTGAAATAGTGAAATAATAATTCGTTTTTAAACAACCAGTTTGGTTCAGTTTTGTAAAAATAAGCAAGGAAACATCGCTAATGAATTATTCACTTGCAAGTGAATAATTCGACCTCATTGAATCCGTATTCATGTGAACTTTAATTGATCCCTATAGTTAGAGATGGGTTACGCATGAACTAGGCGTGTTCAGTTATTAAATGGAAAAGAATGTAATTTAAAACATTGGAAGTGAAACAAGGGTAAACCATTTGGTTGACTGTTCGATCTAGAAAAAACTCATTCTTATACAGGTATAAACGATTATTAACATATTTTTTAACCTATAATATGAAATCAAACATACCTAGAAAAATCCAATTGCACGAGTTCGCAATCAATTTATATCTATGTTTATATTTATATCGGGTTATATGACCGTCGGCAGTCTCCGGAGGTCACCTCGATGGTTAATTAGATGGAGTCTAGACTAAAATACACACGAAATGCGGCTACATTCTATCGAGTCTATGCATCATAAATTGTTTATTTAAGACTTTTTATAATTTGAATAAGCGTTTTAGTATGTTATAAGCCGAAAATAAGAATTTGAGTCAAATCGGTGAACATGAATTTGACAGCTAATGCCCCTTTAAATATTGGTACTTTTACTATACATGAACATGCAACAAATTACGGACGGAATATAGTTTTTGATCTATCGACAATCGAATTAATTAGTTGTCAAATGGATAGCACATTTAAAATTTTTGTCGGATCCCCTCGAATTTTTAAGACTGATTACTTATATTTTCAATTTGGATGAAGTCGCCAAGTAAAATAAATGGGAAATTTAAAACCATGATCTTTTGAGGAAGGGGGAGGGAAAGGGTGACTAACATATAGACTAGAAAGCGGATCCCCATTTAATAAAGGTGTAATATTATTAAAACCTTTGGTTAATTACATCATCTGAGTATCGGAAATGGGGAACCAATTTGAGGGGGGTGTCTTTACAGATTATTTGTATTTCTTATCTATTTTTGATCGGATTATCTTCAAAACTAAGTTTCGTCGTGAATATACATGAAATATTTGTCACAGGACGTGAAGCAAACAAAGTACAATCAATTAATCAAAACTGTAATAAGATTTGTTCTTATCTCCTATGTTTGCGTCCGATTATACACTCTTATTGAATGGGAGAGGGTTTGATTATTAAAACAAATTGAGGAAGGTTAACGAGACAGTAACCAAACTACATCATTAAATTATAAAATTTTCTACAGACCATCAAGTTTACTATTATCAAAAACTTGAGTTAGTTTGATATAACAATAAACAGAAATTCGGACATATACTCACTAAGGATTTTTATTATTGAAAATGAAATAAAAACCGTTTTATTCTGTATAAATAACATCTAAATCAAATATTTCATGGAAGTGAATTATAATGAATAAAAGATAGAACTAACGTTCGAGAAATAAATCATCAAAAGGGAAATAAAAAATTAGACTAACCAGAAGCAATAAAAAAGTCTACGGGCTTACAATTAACAGTCGTAAAAATCACATGCTATTTGCAGCTAGACATATTGGTTAGTGACACTTGTCTATTGATGAAGACCGTATTTAGACCTCTAGCTAATTTGAGGTTTTGTTGTTGTTAGGCTGCTGTCTCATTGACGTATATCACTATATTATTCATGCATATGAACAGCAATCATTCAAGACTAACACTTTAGGTCCTACAAACATCAAAATCTAGACGGGTATTTTTATTTCATTTAGATCAGTCCAGATATTAATTGCTTTGATTCCTTAACTGATGAACCAATGTTTTGGTAGAAAGTTACACACCCTAGGTCACTAACGCAAAGTCAATACCGTTAGTGGACAATCAATGCTGAAGTTACACTCAGCCCGTTAAATGAATATAACACTTGACAAAAGTCCTAAGTCCGAGAAGGATAGACAATACACGACGACTTAAAAAACGATAAAACAAAACATTGTGCAGAAAACCAAAGATTGGCAAATACAAACCACTCCAAAAACCAGGAGTGAACTCAGATTCCCGGGACTTCTGTTCCACTTATTATCTTACTTTTTTCCTGGTTGATGTTAATAAAAATGAAACAGCAAACCAACAATACAAACAAACCAACAAAAAACGATATTTACGTATTTCATGCCACTGCATTGGTATTATACAGGCAAGTTATTTTAATAACTATTTTTATGCAGACGAAGGAAACCATTAATTTGTTTGGAAATTTTAAGATTAATTTATCTTTTTATCTTTAAAGAGGGAAACTACACGTTTCAAGCGACACTTTTTCAAAATGGTACAATAATGTTCGCTTACAAATCAGTGAGTATTACGTACAATAGTGATCGTGTGCTTTACAGAATCGAATGCAACCTGAATATAAATAATGAACACCGTTAATCGGATACGGATGTAGCCGGAACCGATTATTAACAAAATATCGTGAAACGCATTCTGATGCATTTCGAATATAAAAAAAATGACTGTTTGCATATTTCAGCACAAATTATGGGAATATGTTTAGTCCCGAACGACAGCTGCAATCTTTCTTGTTGATGAAAATACAAAAAATAATGGATATAACTGCTAAAATGAAACAGAGATCATTGATACGCGTATTACTAATTAAACGATTAAAACAATTTTTACCGAAAATATGAGAAGTGATTTGATAGATAAGAGTAATGCGATAAGTATATCGATCTTAAAGTGTTTTCGAAGGCATGCATATGTGAAAACAGGCGAATGTTCCGACATGAGTAAGGACCGATCGACAGATGAAGTTTATTTTTTTAAATGTTACTAATCGGATTAAAATAAAGATAAAATTGACATCGGGTATTAATGAATATATAACCCTAATCTTCCTCGCATACATACAATAGTTTGCATAAGAGTTTGACATATAAGAAAGTTTATAAAGAACGGACTAAATCAAACTTTTATAAAGTATATTATGTTGAAGAAGAAAAAAGAAAGCAGAGTTAAAATAGAAACTTTGTATTTAAATTAAGCAAAACCAGGAGTGCTAGCATAGCTCTTTCGGTTTTATAGAATCCTTTCCGCTAAAATACTTTTTTCATTCAACACCAAACCAAAACTGGTAAAATGCAATTAACAAAAGTCACTAAAAAAACCCGATATTTTTTTTCTAAATTGATATTATTTTATTTCTGCGTTTTAGATACCAGATACTAATATATCGGTAGCAAATTGGCCTGTTAAGATCGGACTGTCGGACGCTTTTTATTATGATGTTAATAGTTTTTTTGGTAAGTATGTATTAACTGTAGCCGTGAACTGAAGTATTGCCGAAATGACTAGTCGTAATGAAATGACACATCCCAAGACGACATGAACTAAAAGGATAGACATCACATGGATCGTCGGATTTCAATTAGTAATATCGTTTCTTATTAAATAGCGTAATATTAAGCATAACTCGCAGTCTCCATATCCACAGTAAAATATCTATCGTTATTTAGTATTAACCTTTCTTAAATTATAGATGAATTCTATAAACTAAGAAAAATTAAGGCAAATTAAATACAGTAGGAAGATTTGGGTTAAATATATTTAAGAGTGAGTAGAAGAACAAGAAAATGAAAGGTAAATTTCAAGTAAAAGGGGTACTCGTTTCATGTTTTTGGAGATATTTACATGATATACTTTCACATTTTTCTCAGGTACTGCAACAATGAATGGCTTTATATTTGGGCAGCAGCTTGACAGTGATGAGTTGTAACGTGTAATAATTTCTCAAAATGTTAAATAACTTATTTTTTTTTCGTCACACATGGCTGCAGTACTACTAAACAGACTGACATCGTATTTGGTATGCAGTTTGAGAGTGATGATGTAAGCGCTTTTGGACCTGCCAGACACTTGTTTTCAGAAACTTTGAAATACGAATAGGAGTATGCTTTGAACGACAACGCGTGTAACTTCTTGTTTGATTAGAAAATGAAAACTAGATTTAAAAAAAAATATGAAAGTTTAGATAATATATAATTTTGTATTTAGGATATATTAGATATATAGTGAAATACCATTCTGTTGAATTGAATGTGACGAGCATAGAAGATAATAAAGTGATAATTCTGGATCCTGTGCCAAGTAAGTATAGTTTTTACCTAAAGGTTATGTTTTTGTCTAAAGGTTATGTTTTATCTAAAGGTTATGTTTTTGTCTAAAGGTTAGTTTTTATCTAAAGTTTATCTTAGAATATGGTTCCATTTCGTGGCCTGGCATTTGAACTTACTGTATGCAAACACATTTTGGCTTCCTAACATCACTGAAGATACATTAATTCTAAACATGCTCATCTGGTGCATAAAAATTAGTACAGTTAATGTTTAAGGGGTCCAGTAATGTAGTCCTTTCAGGGATTTGTGCGCATGATATCTATCATTCATTTCTATGCTTTGCATAGTCATTGTCATTCTGTCTTTACGGTCATTACGTGGCAACAAAATCTAAAGAATGTCCAATGAGTGTGTTTGATTGTGCTGTGATACCATTTTCGGTAATCATATATTTTTTTTACCAATATTACGTTCCGTTAAATACTGCGTAGCACTTCACTAAATATGACCTCTGCAATATGTTTTAGTACCTTTTTTCTACCTATCTCTTTCTAAAATTTAATTGAAATTTTGATTTCTTCGAACAAAATAATAGCAAAACACAGAATTATAAGTTGAAGACTGGTATAGTGCAGTACAGTAGTCCTGAAAGGCGCACAGTTTTCTATTAAAGATCTTCCAGACAAACAAACATTATGACTATTAGCTATCGTGTTACTAAAACAGTTTTTTTTTCCATTTATATTATATGTACATTTTAATACAATTTTATATCATTTTCACAGAATTATTGTGTTAAACGAGTACAAGTCTACTTCTTTTTTAAAGGCAGCGTAATGAACACGTTTACCGTACCTTTTAAAGTAAAAATATCACTTTTGTATCTATATCAACAACACCTAAGGAAACCAGATAACCCAGTTACTGATTTAGCATATTTCTTTATAACATTAAATGAAATTAAAACAAAAAATCAAGTTGTTTCCGGTGGCGGCATCTATGGCGTCAACATTTTTTTTTGTTTTTAAATTTGTGAGTTTAAGGGGAATAACTTACGGTTAGTTAATGTTACTCGGTCTTTAGTTTTCTATATAGTATTATGTAATCTGCTGTTTGTCTTTTCGCAGTTTTTCGTTTTTTTCCCATGATATTTTTCCTCGAATAATGATTTTTAATTGTATGCTAATATTTTTTAGATGAAATCAGACTTCAATTCTTAGTCAAACACCATGATTTTGAATTTGGCTGCATTCGTCACGTTTTGATTCATATACCTCAATAAGAGAACCTTTAAATTTTCATTTAATTCAATTTCTAGCATGTAACCTAGCAACAACATGCGAAGAGTGTACATCTCTGCAAATTGATTTTGAGTGCTCATGGTGTCCGAGTGTGTACAGATGTTCAGATAGTGTTGATTGGCACAGACAAGAATGGTTGAACCAAAACTGCGACTCGAATGTAAGTCTTGTCAGTTAAGAAACATTAAGAAAACAACTTAATCTAAGAATTTCTGAAAAGTTCGATTGAGGACCTGATACAACAATCAGCTGCGGATACAAAATTATTTAATAGGTGTGTTAATTATAAAAAAAAGAATAATTCAGTTGTTGCAAGATAAAATGTCCAAATTTGTTTTTAAAGGGAAAGTGTACAATTTATAACAAAGTCAATGTTTTTCTGCTGTTGCTAAAAGCGCTCAAATGTGCACAATTATAAAAGATATAATTTTGTCATAATTATGGACTCTTACTGATTTCAACAGCCGAGACTCAGTCGTGCATACTATGCCGATCTTAATATTATATGTAAATGATAGGAACAAATATAAATCCTCACAAAAGTAAATATGAACAGCATTTATTATTTTATTCTGTAGTGAATAAATAGGGCCACGTGTTGTGAAACTCAACTATTGAGAGAAAGTGGAATCGCCTCCACTTTATACTCACTACAATAATGAATGAAAAAGGAGAGGCGAAGGCACCAAAGGGATATTCACACAAACTGGCAATGCCATTACAAAAAATATATAACAGTACACAAAACACAACATAGATCTATGAATTAATCCAATACATCTCGTATGGATCAGAATTTGTATAGGCTAAATGTCTTTTGTCCCGTGCTTAATCGTACGTTTAATATACTGAATTGAGAGAAAGACAGGAACAATAGCTTCAATCTTATTCCCAGAAGAACACATCATTTTATTCACGAAAAATGCCCACCAAATAGACGAGCTACATTTGCTACCCGGCTTGATTCACGGTACAATATTCTTATTCCTATTAACATATTTGTCATGCTTACAATAGGCCATAACAGATAATAGTTCTTGTTCTACGGCGACCGGTCCACCACCATCAGGTTCTGGCCCTGACAATGACTCACCTGGATTTGTATTCACCTCAGATGACAAGGTACATTTGAATTATACGTTATTTTGTGATAAGCGCAATATCCTATTTTATTTAAAATAAATTTGAATAAATGTAGTGTATTGAAATTTAGCTGTACATCGGCTTTTTATGTATAGGATAATATGCAAATGTAATTTGTTCACCTATCACTGCACCTGCTATCCGTGACAATGTTAAAACAATGCTTAGTAAAACAAATGAAAACCGCTGTACACACTGCAGGCAGAATTCACAGAAGCAAGAGTTCGAATCACGCTGAGGTAAGAACAAAAATTTGCGAACGCAAATTTACAGATCTAACATTGTTGGGCTTATTTTCAGACGAACTAAATATATATTATGGCGCTAATCCTGTATAACCACAGGTTATCCGATCGAGAATGTCTGTAATAAAGTTGTCACATGTTTAGACGTATATATATATATAAATATAATAATAAAAATAAAATTATAATGTAATGGCATGATAATTACATTATCATCCTTTGCGACGGACAAAACATAGCTGATCTGAAAGATATACCATCCTACTTGCCATTATACATCATGTACTGTCTTACAGCCCTAGATAAAGCCGACGAGGAAAGGCATTACTCGACTAACGAAAGCTATATTATTACACAGCCTTGTTGGTCGAGTGTCTAGGGCGCTGGACACATTGCAGGCGGAGTTGCCTACGATGTCACAGAAGCAAGGATTCGAATCCCACTGAGGGAAGAACGATCTAACATTGTTGGGCTAAATTTCATATAGACATATATATGTCTTTTAAACCCTGTATTTACACGTAGATATGTGTTAAATCTGTACGATTTTAAACTAAATAAACCAAGGGTTCGTTGTGGTATAAAAATAATTTTAACTCTAGATTTCTGCCGTCCAGAAGCTTCATATTCACATATAAACAAGTGCTAAAAAGAGGCGTTAGTTTAGAAATGCTGGAAATATATATATATACACAGCCACGCCTAGTCAAAATGGGGACGTTGAATCCGAATCTTTGTTTATGAACACACTCTGCAGGTTTAAGAATCACTGGAACAATTGTTTTAGGGACCCGTAGGTGGCCTGTTGCTAGGTCAAATTTCTTATAGCTTCAATGTCAAAGTTGGGCTTTTTTGAAAAGCAAATGATGTTCCTCGATTGCTATCGTAGTTATTTAACCATTTTACAGGTAAATCAATCTTAATATGAAAAATTTATTCCGTTATATTCCGTGAAATATTTACAGTTAACCAGATTTCAACGATAATTATTTGCTTAATGTCCAGTGGCAAGTAGTTCATGCTTATTCAGAAGGAGAACATATTGGCAATAGATCTTATACATAGGCTCTATGTAGTGAACTTAGGACTGCCATTGAAAATTAGGACATCTTGGATAGGTACTATAATTGTGTTGAACGCGCAGAGATCATGACACTTTCATCATACGAGGGACTCAACGATCGGGGGAGGTAATGACGTCACTAACGTAAAATGTTATTTTTCGCGACGTCAAACTGTTACATATCGGGAAAAGAAGCATTTTTTGACTGATTTATATCTTTCAGACTGAATGACTGAATAAACATGAAAACGAGTTCATGACCCCTCTTGTTAAAAATGGCATTTGGCTTGATTACATGTATGTTTGAAGATTATTTGTAGATATATAAACACCAAGAAATGCCGTTTTTTTACTAAAGCCAGGAAAATGTTATAAAAGGAAATATTTCAAAAGAATTATAACACAAATTCAAAGCAAACTTATATAGAGAAGATATTCCAAATGTGTTTACAAAAATTCGCTTGCGTTTATCTTTTAAAACAAAAATGTTGGGTATGTCTTTCCAAAAGATAGAAATGTCTAACAATCCGAAATTTCCAGTAAATGTCCAAAATTTCGACCCCATTTATCTCTACAAGTAGCACATGAAGGTATATTTTTATTACATATTTGAATTGACTAAGCGAAAAAAAGCTGGTATTCAAACTTTCGTCAAAATTCACCGTGGGATCAAAACTGTATCGTATGCCCTTAAAAGCGAATAGCCCAACGCGTTAAATCGTGAGAAACATAATGTATATTATTTTATGTATTATATTGCAGGACAATGTCAAAAGTTCCAAATCGAGTGATAGAGACGGTAAGTAATGCCACTATTCTGATATTTGTTTAAAAGTGATCGTACTATTTGATAAAAAAAATACCATTTGGGATATAAGAAATTCTTGTTACTCAAAATAAAAGCAGTTATTGATAAATATTTATTCCACTACCCTAATAACTAAACAATATTCATAAAATTTCGAGTATAAGGTTCCATCATTTTTGTTTTAACTCTTGATGTGGTCGAAGCAAATGAATCTTGGTAAAGATAGTGATCATTAACCTACATGTTGAATTTATTTACATACATAACATATAAAATGATTTTTTTAGGAGCAAAGAAGACTGCATTAATAGTAGTACCCATGGTAGCAGCTGTTGTTCTCATAATTGTGTTTATTGTTGGATGGGTATTTTATGCACGTGCAAATCCAACTACCAAATCAGGACAATTTCTCATAAAGGTACGATAATACTGTATCACTGTTTTGTCTTGCTCGATGATTGCCTCATTTACAGTCATACTATATCACCGTATTTTTATAACTTTTTTCATTTTGCATCCATAGGATTAAGGTTTTCTTGTTATGCATTACCCATCATGCCATTTCATGAAGCAAGAACGTTGAGTGATATTTAGCCGGGACAGTAATTCTTATAAAGGTGTAATACCACCACATCATAGTACGTCACATGCAACCGTTGCATACGAAAATAGGTCGAAAAAAAATATTCCCTTGAATTTGACAGTTGTAGGTAATTGATCCTACATTTCATTGCAGTAAAACATTTCTGGGTCATAAACATATATCTTGGGTATTTCACAGACCAGACTCAAGCTAGCGAACAATAAGCCAGCGAACAATAAGGTGTATCAAGCTAGCGAACAATAAGCCAGCGAACAATAAGAAATACGCGCCAAACTGATCTTGCCTAAAAACCGAAGACTTGCAATAACATGAAACGTTCTTTGAAATCTGATGACAATCATTTCCAGTAGGAAGACGAAATGCAATACATTTTCAAAAAGACTATTAATTGAAAACTGTTTATTTATTTATTTATTTATTTTTATATTCAAGACAACATAATTGTTCTTGACCACAGGACATCTCTTGTAGGATTTTCAAAATTCCTTTTAGGTTCTCCTCTCCCTTTTTTGATTACCTTTGAGTAGAAACGGTTTGTCTTTATAATCATGATAATAGTGAATAAATAAAAAAAATAGACCATACTTAACTAGTGTAAAGATAAAATTAAATCCACATGCTTATATTCTTTTTAAAAGAAAGCAAAATACCGATTTTGGAACGTAAAGTATAGAATTTTGCAGTCAGAATTATAAGTTGAAATAAAAGCTAATAAAAATCCACAGTTTTCGTTAGGAATGATTGAAAACTGGCAATTTATTTATTACATTTCAATAGGAAATGTGTTTTATGTGACAATGACACACGTGACACGATATCTGAATGGATATAAAGATTTTAGCTACTTTAACAGACAAAATTTTCAAATCAAAGCTTTTCAAGGAGGCATATTTAAAAAAAAATCGGGAAACAGAAGGAAAAACCGAAATCAGAAGAACAATTTCTTTACACTGATTTAAATTAACAAGAACAGGATGCAATCACAACAATACAAACTATTTCATTTTAACATTGGAATTATAATCGGGGAAACGGTCCAAAGTTGGGGTAGGGTGACCCAACCCCCTCCCTTCTTTTATTCATAAAAAAGTCCCTACGGCAAAGCTTTTGTCCACACTAGGTACAAATGATAGGCAATTGCCTAAAATTGCCTGGACCCAAAGACCCAGGTGGGTAAAGTTACGGAACTTTTTTAATTGAGGTCCAAAGTTTGGGGTATATATCACCTTTTTAATTTAATTCATAAAAAAAGTTGCGCACCATACATTGATACATAATATAGTTCTCAAGCCTTTAACAAAAAGAAAAACGAAATCCGCTTTTTCAAGAAAAAATCAATTTACTTAAACACTTTTGTTTTGAAAGGTAATCATTTACATAGTTTTTACATTGTCTATACGTTTATTCTACAAAAAATGTTATTTTAGGAACTATTTGACAGGATGCCGAAAGTACGGAAAGCCATTTCACACAACACATAATTTATAGTTGAAAAGTTGATAAAATAACAGGGAATGTTGTTTACACTTTTAAATTAGATTATTTAACAAAATATAGAAATTTATCTGCAAACACCAGCAAAATATAAACAATCAACTGACGACAATAACTAATAAGTAGATCATAATTAGCGGATCATTTTTGTGGAAAATCTTTTGTAAAAGTAAATGGATGATGACGGCGGACGACTACGGACTACAAACAACAGACGCCAAATATTGTAAAAAGCTCACACTGAACCTTTAGACCAGGTTAACTAGAACTTTCCATTAAGCTGGAGTAATAACCCCGCATCTTGGATTGACTGAGTATTCTAGTTATAGAAAAACATGTTGTCAAAGAAGCTGATAATAATAATTTGGTCTTTTTCCCAGTATGGAACTGTAGATTCATTTGATATATATTTTTCTTTGATTGCGTGGGAAAAGGTGAACCAGTAGTATTGTCTCTGATTTTTTAACCCCCACAACAACCAGTGCTGCTATGGTTGTCCCAAATATGGTTTTGCCCCGCCCCTTAAAGCCAAATATGGGCATGCCCCGCCCCCTTATGTTATATGATATATGGGCATATACGCCCCCCCCCCCAATCTAATGACGTCACTGGAAGTAAGGAAGATGAATCACGACGGATGCATGTTGACCATATTTGGATGTTATATACCTACCCCTTTCCCCCAACCTAATGACGTCACCGGAATTAAGTATATATATATATCATTTTATTCTGATATCACCTATGTTGAACAGAGGTAAGGAAGATGAATCACGACGGATGCATGTTGACCATATTTGGATAACAGTAGGACTCACGTAGAACCATGCCAATCCCCCCTCATGAGTCATACCGAATGCACGCCCGCCATTTTTGGTCATTATGCGATCCGACCATTTCGATACCACGAGTCATCAGGATGCAAGATTAGGGCATGACGCACCACATGACAATAACATGAGTCACACCAGATGTACGTTGACCGTATTTGGTCTTGTTGTGTAGATCTGACGAGTCAGACATCCGTATGAGTAACAAAGTCGATATTGTTGGTACGTTCATTATACAAGGGCGTCATGTCTCCCTTATTGGAAAATTTAAATTATCAAAAATTCAACAAACTTCAAAAATCCATAAAATTCAAAATATTTTTAAATATGTAACTTTTGTGAAGTTGAATCGAAAATGCGCCACCGTTATTATTTTCAAAAAGCATAAAAGAAATCTGCTGGATACGTAAAGGTAAAATTCATCCATTGTTTTGCTTCAGGCATTCTTATAGATAGGTTGATCAATGTATGCAGTGATTTTTTTTTTCGATTTTCAAAATATTTTGATTTGTTTTATTTGATTTTTTTTTTTATTTATTTAAAAAAAATTATGACTTTTTTTTTTTATTTCAATTTTTTTTTCTATTTTTCAAATTTTGAATTTGAATTTTTTGAATTTTTTGCATTTCAAAATTTTTAACAATTTTTATAAAATTTTGAATTGTGTGGATTTTTGCATTTTTAAATTGTATATAATTTAAATTTTCGAATAAGGGAGACATGCCCTTGTATAATGAACGTCCCAACAATGTCGACTTTGTTACTCATACGGATGTCTGACTCGTCAGACCTACACAACAAGACCAAATACGGTCAACGTACATCTGGTGTGACTAATGGTATTGTGTCATGTGGTGCGTCATGCCCTGATCTTGCATCCTGATGACTCGTTGTATCGAAATGGTCGGATCGCATCATGACCAAATATGGCGGATGTGCATTCGATATGACTCATGGTTTTGGCATGGTTCTACGTGAGTCATACTGTTATATTCTTATCCAAATATGGTCAACATGCATCCGTCATGATTCATCTTCCTTACCTCTGTTCAACATAGGTGATACCAGAATAAAATGATATATATATACTTACTTCCGGTGACGTCATTAGGTTGGGGGTAAGGGGGCGGTATATGCCCATATATATAATATTAGGGGGTGGGACATGCCCATATTTGGCATTTAGGGGCGGGGCATGACCATATATGGGACAACCACAGCACCACGGGTTTTGGTGGATGGTTAAAAAACCACAGACAATACTACTCATAAGATTATTCATCTGATGACATGGGCCATCTGGTCTGGAGTAGTGTTTTAAGGCCGATTCTGCCGCACTCCCCCATTTTAAGGGGAAATCCTGTATAGGACCCCTAACCCCGAGGCTAAGATGCAATCCGACAGCGTCCCTTCTTAGCGTATAATAAATCATGACTTTTGTACACAATGGTTTCGTCGACACAGTTGACTTCATCAGCGAAGACACCTTAGAGGGAAGGGTGCCCCAAATTAAAATAAATAAAAGTATGCATTGGGTAAGAATATTATGGATCAGTACGCAGATTTCTTCTTGGAGAATGAGAAAGATTTGGAGGATAGCGTCTCAACCCCAGTTCCAGCCCCAACCCCAACCCCTCAGCAGTCCTGCGACAACCCAAATATGGCACAGATGGATCTGACCACCCAGATGTGTCAAAACTGCGGCGCTCAGTCGACAAAGCTAAAATTTGAAGACCAGCCATAAGAATGGGTGAGACACACCTGCGGTGTCCCACTATAGGGGCAGTTCTGCAAGAGCAAATCGGGAATGGACGGTCTCTGCTGGAGACATAGGAAGCAATCGCGCCAACAGGACGACGACGAGAACATCCCAATCGTAGGCAAAATTGTGGTAAAAGAGACCATGAAGGCACTCCGTCAAATAGCTAAGGATAAGGGTCTGAGGGGGGTCAGCAGGATGTCGAAGAAAAAGTTGGTCAAACTAATCGAGGAGAAAACCAACCGAAAATTTGCCCGCAAAGAGGTCTTCACAAAGAAGGAGCTGAAGGCCATCGCCAAAAGACGTGGAATCACCAAATATTCCCGACTAGGAAGAGCCGCCCTAACCGACCTGGTGAAGAAGGATATCGAAAATGCCCCATTGGAAGACGAGATCAAGGTAGTTGACCGACGCGATGCATTGAAAGGAGTTTTTGACACAGTCAGAATTAACCCGCTCCAGCAGCATGATTTGGAAACGTTTTCCCAGGTACTAAGTAAGTCGCAGCACCATCTCCAGGACAATCGAAGATGCCCTCACCCGAAAGAAGGGCTTGAAGGTACAGCTAGTACTGAAAGTGGAGCTGGTTAAAACGAATCCCGCGACTGGGGGGAACACCTACGTCATTCCTTACTTCAGATCAGCCCTGACAGTCATCACCGAATCAGCAGACCTCGACTTCGAGATTGCGGTTATGGTAGGGAAGATCAAGGAAAGCATGTCAAGGTATA